GTTAGAATACCACACTGAAGGTGATGAATGGGATGATGCAGATAAAGAAATTCTTGAGATGAGAGCTTTTTTGAAAAAATCAGAAAGGAAAGGCCCATGGAGTGTGTCACCCACTAGGGGGAAGAGGGTATCTAAGTGGGGCATTACACTGTGAGAGACTGCACCCATCTCAGGCAGGGAATACTCTTCACCCAAAACCAAAAGAATACCTTGCTTGGTGCTAAAGTGTTACTAAAAAGAGCAGAATGTAAGATTGCTCAACCAACCATTACCTTACAGGTGGTCACTGGAGCAAAGGTGTTTAATGTGACTAGGGCTGAAGTCAGGCTGTTTTACTGGAGAAAAACTTATGGGAGATACTTATAACAATAATAATGTAACAACCAGGACCTGTTTCCTGGGAAGAATGAAGAATACACAAGACTAACCGCTGGGAATGGCTTGATTCATAATACAGTGGAGTGAGAGAACTACACCTTGTATTGTGATTTTTTTAAAAAAAGAAGCAGTATGGCTTGGAAGGTTAAATATAAACAATGCCAAAGCATTATTGTGGAAAGCCCACACCAACAGTGGGAATTAGGCAGAAGAAGATGGGCATAACACTGTTTGTTACCCCTATTTGATGCAGATTTCAGAAATATTCCCTGTGAGACAACACTGTCCACATGGTGGGTTCTAACATCCCCATAATAGACATATATATATGTCTAGTACAATAAGGTGTTTGTGAGAAAAGTAAACAACTCACCCTAAGAACTACTGAAAAGCAGAGAATGGTGAAAACCTCCCTTTGGTGTAAGGAATGTGGTACAAACATGTTAGGAGTTGTCCACATCCCCTCCTGCAAGATCTCATACTGGAGACATTGATAACTAGAGGCAAAAGAAGGTATGAGAAGACAGACATGATTGGAGGAGACATGAAGAAGGAGAAAATCATTAACACCCACAGAAGATAAAACTAACCAGATGGAGAGTATATCCTAACTGGTCAAAGTGGAAGGATATAAATTACTAAAGGAAGAGGAGTCCCACAGCAAGAAAAGACAATGACATCTGCCCTGAAAAGGGGCAGTACAAGTGAGATAACTTTGAATAGACCATACAATACACAGAAGATATGTTTTGGAACGATATGGGAAGGTAGAATGAATGGAGGTAACATCTAATCACCTTCTCATGCCAACCACATTTCGAGAGGAAGGAATGTTCAAGCAAGAAAATTAACCTGATACTAAGATAAATAGTGTGGGACAAAAAGTGAGTGATGGCTCTTGTAAGTGAGAAGGGGAAGAAATATGTCTGAAGCACAGAAAAGGAAAATGAACCTCACCAAATATAAAGCATCTTCTGCCAGAACTGTAGTCTGGGATTGGATAACAAAAGAGTGGAAGCAGTGGAGAGGAGTTGAAAACGCTGTGATGTTAGGATTTCCATAGTGGAATAAATCTATAAAGAACACCAGAGGATGTTGGAACCATTCCGTGGGAAGGGTCCAGCCAAAGGTGAGAAAGTTGATCTGTAACGAAAGCCTTAGCTCCTTAATGATAATAGACTGACAATTTAATGTAGTGGTTGTGAGAACAACAGAGAAGTCCAGAGCTACAAAAACAGAGGTCCCAGGAGTGAATGCCTCCCTAATGGGAAGGATGAATGAAACATCAAAAGAAAACAAAATCTGAACAGATCGTGATAAAAAGACCAGACAGAAGATGAAGGCAAGCAATTGTAGCAGCTACCATCATGAGGACAGATATAAAGAAAAATCTCTCCTATGGAGACCAGATGCTGAAAATGGATGAAGCATTCAGAACTACAATTCACCTAAACAGAAGCATAGGTGTTATTCTATGTATATATATATATTGACAGTACTTATACAAAATGTATCAGAGTGGTATTTTATTATTTTAACAATCTTTTTCAAACAAACAAATGAATTAATTTATAAAATACGTAATACACAGTATTTGTCAAATAAGTAGCAAATAACATTCCAAAGAAGGATATAATCACAGTCTAATTTCAAACAATCTTTTTTCATTTTGAAGTTTTGCAGCGGCTTTAAACAAATAACACATTAGATAATTATCCTCACATAAATCACTCTTCTGTTTGAACCATGTGATTATGTCTTTAAGGCTAGATTTTGCTTTGTTAACAGTACTGGTATAGAAACTCACAATATGTAAGTAGAATGAGCCCACAAACTCACTCATGAGCTCTAGAGGGCTTCAAACAGATGCAAGTCTGGGTAAGATAAAGGAAGAGGGACATCCAGGGTCATGTGGGGTTAAATGAGCCACCATGAGAGTGGGAAATGAAGGCACTGGACCTCTGGATATATCTGCACTTTCAGGCTACATGTAAGGGCATATCCAAAGTTAACAAGAGACTCGAGAGACATATCCACTTATACAGAAAATGAAGGAGACACAAGAGCCTGGGTATTAAAAGTTATGTATCTCAAAGACAGAAAGGAAGCCAAGCCAGCCCTACATACAAAGTAAGAAGCCCATTAAATGATTGAGATACAGGGG